CCCCTAGGGCTATACGAACAGATCTATTCCAAGCCAGATAATTTTTACCTGTTAATGGCGCTGTGACCAGAGCCAATCCTGGATGGTCGGAATTATGCAGCGCTAACGGATCATCACCCTCCGCCATTTCAAATTTGGTACAGTATCAGCTCCTTCGTAGATCGAGGAAGACGATCGCCAATCCATGGGTCGTCATTGCTCTGATACCATGAGAAATCTAGAGAGTGGAATTAATTTGGGAAGAGTACTTCCCGTTCAATTTCACATGTAGATGAAAGAGGAAAGTACAGTATTTATAGAAATACCTAACAACTAACTTTTGACTAATGACAGACTTAAACAAACTACAAACTAATTAGCTGGAGCTAAACCTAATTACTGGAATTTATTGAAAACAAAAATGACGTGGATTATATTCTCTATAAGTTTTTGACCAATAACTTTCAAATCAGATGATTTTAGGGTATCATGTTGTAAATACCTTAGCAAGCTTAATAAATCAAGGCATAAAGCGTTTGTTGGGAGGCAATCCAATTTCCTAACCTTTTATTTATTTTGGTTTCTATATTACATTGCATGTAATGTTATTTTTGATTTATAGGTTGCATTAGTTATAGGCACATTTCAATTTAGTTTGGGGGCCATCTTCATCATTGACACTTAACCTAGTTACAGGGAAACATTAATTGAGTTAAAATATGTTGTTTTTTATTCTTTTGATTGTTTTCTTCCCCTCTTAATAGGTATCATGTCTATTGATATTGTAAGAAACTTAGCATAGTACAAGTTGGGATAACTTGGCAAATAGCTCTTCACACATTCAATAGAAATATTTGGGGAGTACCTTCTTCCTTTTTCCCCATCTCCTTATATTCTTACTTATGATTTATGATATTAAAGACAATATCGATTTTAAGTTTGGGGGTGGGAAAATTTTTGAATTTTTACTTTTTGTGTGTTTTTGAGTATCTGTTTATTTTTTTTGTTATTGTTTTAATATATAATCAAAAAATCAAAAATTTTGAAAATTTTCAAACAAATAAAAACTATTTTCTTTGATTAGGTTGTGTCCTTGTATGGGTTAGATAGTCTGGCCGACAATTATGACTATACTTGAGATTTGGTGTAGATTTATGAACTGTTGATATATTAAATGCTTAAATTGATTGATACATAACCATACAAAACTTGATATTATATGCGCACTAGAATTGAGTTTGACATTGTGATGAAATGAGTTGATTCATAAGCTTCGTAGGTTGATTTAGTCGAACATAAATGTTATACCCAAATCATACTAAATTCTTTATCCTTAAGACCAAATTTATCGTAGTTTAGGGGTAATTTTATGGTTGTAGAAATATATGGATATAAACTGGGATTTCATGTGTGAAAATTTATCTGTGGATTGTCTTAAATGAATAGGATAACATTGAGCAAAATAAGGCGATTTGATTAGATAGGTTTTCAATGAGTGGCATTGCAGTAATCAGTGTAGAAAAATATATAAAAGATATCTCATTGTAACCTTTGTGATTAGAATTATTAAGCCTACTATGGTATTTACAACCTGATACCCTAAAATCATCTTATTTGAAAGTTGTCGGTCAAAAGCTCGCTACATGGGTCACATAAAAAGATTAAGAGAGAGAGTAGAAAAAAATATATAGAAATTTGAAAAAAGTAGATGCATGAAACAGAAGATACATCAAATGTCTTGGTTAAACCCTAAACACTTATTTGAGAAGACTTAACTTTTGATGGGGGATTATTAGCCTAGTCTAGTCCTAAATGTCAAAGTAATCGAAGAATTGGAGAATCCTTGTTTATTGATGTGGTGACTTGAAATTAGTAGAGTCCAACCGAACTAGAGAAGATGGGGATAGTAACGAAAAATTCAATCTTAGATTGCACACCGAAGAGTAAAAAGAATAAGTTGGTGGTGTATGAATCATACGAGAGGTGAAATGATATATTTGACCACAGAGAGTCTGGAATTGAAGCAACT